GTGCAGGGTGAATTATCATTCATAAATGGCATGGATTTTGCTCACAGGCATTTACCTGTGATTGGACAGAGAAGATTTATCCAGATGATGCATGCCAAAGTGCAATGCTCAATACTTTATCCAGGATGATAGTTGCCAATGCTGCCCATGAATTTGTGCCCTCTACAGTTTCTGTGTGTTATTTCTGATTCCTGTGCCTGACCTCTGATTATGACCTAGCTTGTTCCTGACCTCCGCTTGTCTGCTACCTGCCCTGACCTTGGCTTGTATTTTGATTCTGCTTCTGCCTCCTTTTCTTGCCTGATTGATCTTCCACTGCTGGCCTGGCCTGTGACCCGACTATTCTGCTGTTTATGCCTGATCTGCCCAACTATTACCGACCTGGCTTGTCTGACCCTGAATCTTGCTCACCCAACCTGCTACAGCTCTTCAGTTCATCAAGTCCACATCTGGGTCCTGCTTCCTGCTGCTCTTCCACAGTCTGCTGTCAGCCAAAGCTCCATGCCAGATCATCTGCCACCAGCCTGTCCAGCTGCTACACCTACCTGCTAACAGACTACTGGACTGATCACAGGCACTCATACCTCGCCATGCTCTTGTGGCTGCTGATCCACTACCTGTGGCCCTTGAGCCAGAGCTGTACAAGAGGCCTTCCTCTTCACAACAGTCTCACTATCTGGGTACATGACACTGTGTCATCAAAACAATGTAAACCAGCAACGGTGTTCCTGATCGCTTCCAACCCTGTCACAGCATTACCAGACCAGACACAGCAGAAAGCAACAGTGTTGATGAGCCACACCAGTTCCAATGTAAACCAGAAACACTATTTTGAATACCTTCACACCTGTGCAGTGTCACCATAGCTAGTGCAAGGTAGTGGCATTGTCCTTATTGCTAGCCACCCCAGTTCTATTTCACCAGTGCCACTATAACCTAGCAAAACACTGTTCTGATTGCTAGCCACACCAGTGTCAATGTTACCAGAGCCAGCAAGACCAGCAACATTGTTCTGATCACTACTTATACCATTGCCAGCATCACCAGAGCCAATGTAAGTCATAAACAGTGTTTTAATCCTTGCCACACTAGTACTGTATTACCAGTGCCAATGTAAGCAAGGACCAGTAACCTGATCACCAACCAGCACAAGCACCAATTTCATCAGACCACAGCCAAAAATGCCCACAAAATGTACACAAAATGTAAATGTGAGCCTTTCAAATTCTGCGTATGATGAGACCAGCATAGAAAAGACAGCCTTAGATTTAGAGAATGATCTTGTTGAAAGCAATTGTTTGATAGTGGCAATCTCTGACTCAATGAATGAAGGAGTCCCTACTAAAAAAGTCAGGCATACTGTGTCACCAACCTGAACATCCATGCAGAAGGCAAACACCAGCTGCGCACTACATCTTGGTGAAAGGGCAAAACCTGGTAGAGGGCTGTTACAACGTCAACCATATAGAATTTGGACCCATGCTAGTGTCCCACAGGAACATTCTAATTGTTTGTGTCTACCCTCTACTTAGCGCCTGCCATCTAAACATTTACTTATTTGGGCTGAAACAGAATGTTATACCCATTCAATTTTTTTTTTTTTTCAACAAAGAATTATTCAATTTAATTGTCTCGAGAAATGAGATAGGCAGTCAGAAAATCAGGGTTGAAAAATTTAAAATATATATCTATACAGTATATCATAGTTTGTAGACTTTATATCTCTCACACTAATAACTAATTTACACCTATTTGTATTTTTTTTAACCAAAGAAATGTAGAAAAATACTTTTTGGCCTAAATTTATGAAAAAAATATTTTTTATTTGCAAAGATGTCTACTAGAAACTAAGGGAAATTGTTTTTTTTTAAATGTAATTTTTTTCCTTTGTATGCAGCAGTAAGAAAAAATCAGTGGTGATTAAACATAATCTTTCTAAAAAAAATTAAACATAATTCATTTGGATTTCACCGAGTAATTTTCTGTCAAACTGTCACAGTGCTGAAACTGTAAAAATACCTAGATGGCAAGGGGGTTTAACATGACGGTCTTTAGATTCATGATGGTCTTTTAATTTGTTAAAACCATTCTCTGCTGAGAGAAATATGAAGGCTGAAAATGCTAGTTGTCTGACTCATTTGTTCTGGATTAGCCAGAGTCAGCCAATCAACTTGTGTTCTCAGAAAGATGTCAGCAATGGCGGTTTTAATATTTTTCTAAGTACAGAACTGATTAGCAGTACAACAGTAACTAAATATATTCTGTTGTAATAGCTTGGTCAGTTAAAGGATAAGTTCATGTTTGAAACATGTTACATGTTCCACCTGTCTTTAGGGTGGAACATGTAACATGTTCCCATAGCTGCAGCCCCCCTCCTTCTGACAGATAGATAGTACGGGGAGAAGGTTCCCCGTACTATCTATCAGGTTTTGAAAACAGCGGGGCCCTGGGGTATTTGTCAACACACAGCTCTGTTCTCTCATTTGATCAGCCGATCAACAGGTCCTGGACATAAATTATTGGCTGGGACCCACTGATAGGCTTGTCCGTTAGCGAATGACAGCAGAGACAGGGCAGTGCGTGCATGCGTTCCCCTACCCGGAAAGGATGGATCATGTACATGTATGTGAGCCAGACCAGCAGGGCCATTCTGTAGCAGTATATCTACGGTGGCTGGTCCGGAACTAGTTATAGGTATACACAAATGTTTTGCCGTTCATTTCTATTTTAAACTGAATGGGTTCTTTTACAAGATGAGGGGTCATATACTGTATACTTTAACATAAGCGTGCCCCAAATATCTGGATCTCTCCCTCTATGTGTTCGAGTAAGGGCTGAATAGTACCCCTTACTCAAAACAAAGTAAAATTGCAAAAAAACACAGAGACTGTTAAATCTCCTTTACTAAGTATAAAATAAATAAATATTGTCCCCATATGTAAATCCACAGCAATCGCATATCTCAGAGATGTACATTCATTGTCAATCCTGTTGAGCAAAGCCTTGATGACCCACAAACACGACAACCCACGCCACAACCACCCTCTTCCATTGCACTCCTGCCACAAATGACAACTCCCTAGCTGGCTGCTGAATGTCGACAAAGCACACAGGGATGCTGGCCAACATCACTGACCACATAAAATCATGACCATAAATGGTAATGGTAAATGGTAATTGGACATCACACAGGTGCATCATTTCATGTGTAGGTTTAAGACATCTCCCAAATACATTATTTATCCCCTTCACGCCTAAGGGTAAAACAAATCTAAATGCCTAAGCACAATTTTGCAACATTGACATGTGCTAGTAAAACCGTACATATCATCACAACTACTTTGTACATCTGGGTTGATTATACCTTGTTTTTTTCAGGACAAATTGGGCTTTCATTTGGTGGTAAATGGTAATGGATAGCTCCTAATTTTTTTTATTATCAAAGGAAAACTGGCCCAAAATAGTAAAAAAAAAAATCGTTTTTTTTAATTTAGCTGTGCGTTTCTTGTTACAACCATAACCTTCCTCCATAGAACAACCCAAAATACATTCTCCAGCTCTTTGACGATATATGTGTATGTTATTTGTTGTTTGTACCCGTAGTACAGCCCAGAAACAATAGTGCGCATTTTGTTTTGTCTTTTTTTTTTTTTTTTTTACCTAAAACACACTGACATTAACACTAACTGACAATGATACCAATTTTTTTTTAAATCCTGACCTTTGACCCTGACCTTGACCCAAACACTAACCCTGGTACTGAACTAGATCAAACCTTGATCTAGGTATTTTTCTTTATTTTTTCTTTTATTTTTTAATATTTCTTTATTTATTTATTCATCTTCTCTTTTTTTTTTTTTACAAACATTTTTTTTATCACTCTATGTCAGGAGATACAATGTATCTCTCTTCTCCATTTATGGAGAGAGAAAAAACAGGGGGGCCGGGCTGCACAGTGACTGATCACTGTGACAGCCAATCAGAGGCTAACACATCGATCACGTGACCTGGAATCGGGAGTCTCGGGTCCCAATCGTTAGAACGGGACCCGGGGCTCTTAGTGACACTGCGGTCTCTGTGCTGGGAGCACACCGAGCGGCGCACTCCCAGCCCAAAGACAGGAACGCAAATATGCTGCCCCACAGAAAAAAGCCCAGTTCCGTGAGGCTGCATATTTGTGTGCCGTCGGCGTCAAGGGGTTAAAGCAATTGTGCTTTTATTGTTGCTCTATGAACCACATTAAAATACTCAGTTCCTGCTAAAAGATATTTTTTAAAGCATAGTTTACAATGCTACATGCAGGGGCGTATTCACCCAAAGGCAAACAAGGCATTTGCCTAGGGCAGCATTTTTCAGGTCGGGCAGCTCTGCCCCCTGGAAGAAGGGACATTTGCAGCATGGGGACCAAGGGGGAGTCAAGAGAGGCTGCGGACTGCTTTATGGTGTATGCAGAGCCGGACTCAGTTGGGGGGGCAGGGGTGTTGTTGGTCAATGTTAGGCTCTCTGTGCTGGGGTGGTCCGATTTTTGTGTTGTCTAGGGCAGCACAAAACCTAAATACACCACTGGCTACATGTCCCCAGCTGCCTTCCAACTTTTGTTATCGCAAGCTTGCAAATGGACCTTGAAAAAGGCCCCAAAAGTGCAATATTTGGATTTCATAGACTTCAATAGGATTCAGTCAAATTTTTTCAAGTGTTTGGTGAAAGTCCAGCGAACCAAATTTGGTTCTCTCTTAACATTCACCAAGTTTCTTGTTAAGTTTTTTTATTTTAATATGGGAAGTGTTTAGCTTTCTGGATGCTAATCAGAAGCTATTGTATGTTTCACACCTTTTTACTAAATTAATACATCGAAAATGCTGTAGCTGTAGTTAGATGGTCCACAGGAATAAATTACTTTCTTCACTTCTATCTACATTATTTACTTAGTTCTGCCAGACATAATGTACAGACAAAAGAATTAATTTACGAATAAACATCTGAGACATTTTTATTATTACCTTTACCCAGAAGACTCTGCAACCATTGGGACGTGTAGTAGTGTGTTGCCAAGCTAGGTATTCATCAACACGGGCACGCTTCTGTGGATCAGATGGGTACCAGTGATCAGGAGTGTTATATTTCTGTACTAGGTAGCGCAAGATTGCAGTACTAAAGGTAAAACAAAATAAGTTATCTTGCCTTTCTTTTTCTAAACAATGATTAACAATCTATTTGAGAGCTATAGAATATACCTTTCAATTATTTATATATTTATTTTACCTCTCAACAAGCATGAATTCTCCTTCTATTAGAACAGGCACTTTGTGCATTGGATTCACCTTCTTAAACTCATCAGTCAGATGATCCCCTAGTGAGACATAATGTTACATAGACAAGATGTAATTACTGTGGCTTACACAGGATATATATATATATATATATATATATATATATATATATGATATACAGTTTTATATATATATATATATATATATATATATATATATATTTTTATATATATATTCTTGATGTTTATCATATATTACTGAGAATAATACATTTTAAAAAAACAATAATGAATACAAATTTTTTTTCCTAAAGTAAATATGGCTGATAACCTTTCACGGTTGTATTGCTGCTTTTACCCTCACAGTAGAGATCCCATCGCTTTCGTATTTCTGGTTTGCCAGGAGAGGAAGTGAGCTAAATATCTCCTTAAGGGCCGGTTCACACCAGAGAAACGCAGTCCAGATGCGTTCCGGATTCGTTTCCACATGCACGTTTTTGGCATGTTCAGGTGCATTTTTTGACATGTTCTAGTGCGTTTTTGATGCATTTCGGTTTTTTTTTGCTCCCTCTCTTTTTCTTCAATTTAAATAGGGACACGTGCATTCAAATGCACTTTATGGTGCCTTTTGGTGCGTTCCAGTGCGTTTTTGATGGGTTTTACAGCGTTCCAGTACAGTTCTGTGCAGGAAAAATGCAGCGTGTTCTACTTTTTTTTCTGCAACTGGAACATACTGGAACTGCAAGCACTGATGTGAACTATGACATTGACAAACATATAACCTACTTTCTGTGCGTTTTGGATGCAGAAAAAAGCAACTGAAACGCATGTAGTGTGAACTGGCTCTAAAGGTACCAAGATTGCAATACAAACCTAACAGAGGTTCTACCCATTCTAAGCTAAGCAAAAGCAAAAATTATGTTTTGGATTGAGCTGGGCTTTAACCACTTGACCTCCTGAGGATTTAGGATGTTTGAAGACAATACATAATGGGGGGGATTTACTAAACTGGGCATTCAGAATCTGGTGCAGCTGTACATAGTAGCCAATCAACTTTTAACTTCAGCTTGCTCAATTAAGCTTTGACAATAAAACTTGGAAGCCGATTGGTTTCTATGCAGAAAAGCACCAGCTTTTGCATGTTCCAGTTTTACTAAATCTCCTCCAATAAGTAATCCAATTCCTGTGACTACAATGCAGTGAGCTTAACAGTAATGATTTCACATCACAAAAGCATACCTTAGATAAGTACTGTTTAGAAAATCAATAAAGGAGTGTCTAAATGTAAAGTGCAAGATGAATATTCTTTAGCGTAGAAACATGGGAAATGTTCTGCTAGCTGCTTACACAGCATTCTACTGGATGCTGCCCCCAGGTTAGTAATTAACCTGTTCCAACTCATATACTAGCAAAACGCTCTCAGAAATATAGTGTACCTAGATGTAAAGTTCACCTTTACTGATGCAAAGGAAATACTGCAGGCATGCGAAAACAATACAGCTAAACTCTAAATTCTGCTCTGAGCTTCTGATCATTGCCATTTGTCTGATGTCATGCCCAAAGGCACCAGGAAAGCAAAGAAGCTGACAGTCTTTTGTAATTGAGGGAGGCTTGTCATCAACATGACAAATGTACAGTACGGACCCAGTAGATGTTTTCATGGATTTTTCACAGTATTGTAATTCTTGAACACAGCTGGTACTGGATACAGTTAGATTTTTATGTTCCACTGGCAAAATGCCAAACTGAACAGATAAGTAAGTATGCAGAAGTAAATCACAAATTCTTCAGTTACAATTCTTTCATTTAATTTGCTTTTCTCTGTCTATGGACAAACAAGTGCAAGAAATGAAAACACTTTTTTTACATCCTAAAAATACTTTAAGATTCACTTAAAAGAGAGTAGGAAAAAAGAGTGAAGTTTTCTTTTGCAGTTTATAACAGGTTTATAACATGTTTCATGCATATGTGCTCAGCCAATTCATCTGTTCCTTCCATGAGATGTTAGTGTCATTAGGCTTTAGTATACATGAATTCATGTTAGCATAAATGTGCCATATAAGAAGAACTGTTGCTAACAGTAGGTATGATAACAACTACATAATAAATCAACATGATCTTCATTGCTGACCTTTAAAAAGTTTCACCTCATGGTGCTTGAAGGGGATGTTGTTGACCTTAGCAAACAGATACACAGAACGGCATGGCTGGGATAGAAGATCCAAGTATAATTCCAATTCTGACATTCTTATAGTGACTGTTGAGACCTGCTATGCAGTTAATGACAACCTGCAAAAGTTTATCTAATTTCTCAGGTCACGCCTCTGAGAAATCCTGCCTATTGCCACTCCCATCATACGTATATTCTTTCAACAGAATGTACAGTAAGTGTATGGAACAGCTTTTGCTGAAAAAAAAAATACAATTGGTGTGTATAGACAATAATTTGCAAAGACCACTTTCCCCCTCTACAGTCTTATAAATTAATAATACATATTATTATGAAACCAAGAGAGGTTGCAGCACAAATTGTCCTATTTGATGAAGTCTGTGTTGCATCCTTACTTCATTTCATATATACCATATTGCCAAAAGTATTTGGACACCCCTCCAAACCATTGGATTCAGGTGTTGCAATCACCTCCATGGCCACAGGTGTATAAAATCAAGCAACTAGGCATGCAGACTGCTTCTACAAACATTTATGAAAGAATGGGTCACTCTGAGTAGTTCAGTGAATTCAAATGTGGTGCCGTGATAGGTTGCCACCTGTGCAATGTCCATCCATGAAAGTCTATAAAGACATGGATGAGCGAGTTTGGAGTGGAGGAACTTTACTGACCTGCACCCAATAAAACACCTTTGGGATGAATTAGAGTGGAGACTGTGAGTTAGGCCTTCTCGTCCGACATCAGTGCCTGACCTCACAAACGTACTTCTGGAAGAATGGTCAAACATTCCCATAGACACACTCCTAATCCTCCATTAAAGTTCATGTGCTGTGTAAAGGCAGATGTGTGTGTGTGTGTGTGTGTATATATATATATATATATATATATATATATATACTGTATACACTATATTGCCAAAAGTATTGGGATGCCTGCCTTTACATGTGCATAAACTTTAATGGCAACCCAGTCTTAGTCCGTAGGAACCAATATTGAGTTGGCCCACCCTTTGCACCTATAACAGCTTCAACTCTTCTTGGAAGGCTGTCCACAAGGTTTAGAAGCATGTCTATGGGAATGTTTGACCATTCTTCCAGAAGTGCATTTGTGAGGTCAGGCACTGATGGCGGAAAGTGAAGGCCTGGCTCGCAGTCTCTGCTCTAATTCATCCCAAAAGGTGTTCTGCCGGGTTGAGGTCAGTACTTTGTGCAGGCCAGTCAAGTTCCTCCACCCCAACCTCGCTCATCCATGTCTTTATGGACCTTGCTTTGTGCACTGATGTGCAGTCATGTTGGAATAGGAATGGGCCATCCCCAAACTGTTCCCACAATGCTGGGAGCATGAAATTGTTCAAAATGTCTTGGTATGCTGATGCTGTAAGAGTTCCCTTCACTGAAGCTAAGGGACAAGCCCAACCACTGAAAAACAACCCCACACCATAATCCCCCCTCCACCAAACCCAGATACGTCCATCGGATTGTCAGAAAGAGAAGCATGATTCATCACTCCAGAGAATATGTCTCCACTGCTCTAGAGTGCAGTGCAAGGTGCTTTACACCACTGCATCCAACGCTTTTCATTGCACTGGTGATGTAAGGCTTGGATGCAGCTGAAACCGATTCCATGAAGCTCCCTGCGCACTGTTTTTGTGCTAATCTGAAGGCCACATGAAGTTTGGAGGTCTTTAGCTATTGACTCTGCAGACAGTTGGCGACTTCTTCCCACTTCAGAATGCACGGACTCTGCTCTCTCATTTTATGTGGCCTACCACTTTGTGGCTGATTTGCTGTTGTTTCCAGTTGCTTTCACTTTGTTATAATATTACTAACAGTTGACCATGGAATATTTAGTAGCAAGGAAATTTCACGGATGGACTTTTTGCACAGGTGGCAACCTATCACGGTACCACGCTTGAATTCACTGAGTCCCAGAGTGCGACCCATTCTTTTTTAACAGATGTTTGTAGAAGCAGTCTGCATGCCTAGGAGCTTGATTTTATACACCTGAATCCAATAATTTGGAGGGGTGTTCCAATACTTTTGGCAATATAGTGTACATGTATATACAGTATATATACACACATATACTCTATGTCACTACAATGTAGGCATCATTGCAATTATAATAAGTATGGTGCAAGCACAGAAGAAATGGAGTGTATCCAAACTCCCTTATATATAGAAATCCAAACAGTCCTTCTGCAGCATCTTGTAAATTAATTTAGCAATCTTGTGTCATAAATTTCTAAAGAAGCTTCGGACTGGTAAACATCCTTTCTCAGGTATGACAAGCATGTGTAACATCCCCCATTGCTACATACCTTACTGAAAACAAGTATTACCTTATTAATCAATGTAGTACACATTCAAAAAATAAAGGGAAACACTGTAATGGCAGTGTCCATTGAGTGTTCAAACAGATAACACCTAAATGATAAAAAGGGCTGAAAGAATCCATTCTAAATAATGCATACAGTATCACAAAAGTAAATGTATATCAAAATTATTGTTTAATCTTTTAGGTGCTTGCTATGGTATTCATAATTGATAATGGCTTTACTTCTCACTTTCTGAGTAACAATTTCTTACCATCTCCTCTTTGGTGTTGTGGAACATGATCAATGACTATGAATCTTACATGAGTAACTGAATGTCCACACTGAATGGAATGTTACTCTAATGATAATTCTAATTGTGGGGATCAAATAAAATATTTATGCTATGCTAGTCTTTCCTTGTTT